TTTTATTTAGTTACTAAATTATCTGATATTATTTTTATTGCTTTCATTTGAAACTGTTTTATAGTTTTTTTTTTTTATTTTATTTTTTTTATTTTTTATTTTTTTTTGTATAATGATGTTATCATGGTTTTTTTTTTAATTTTGAATGTTTTTTTCTATATGCTAGTTTATTCTATGTATTTTTTATTTTATAACTATTTTAATTGAATTTTGCATTGCATTTTTATTATTATTCTTTATTATATATATTTATTTAAAAAAGCTATAATTATTTTGAATTTAGTTATTTATATCTGCTTTAGTTATTTATTATATTTGTTTATAACGAATTTTATGATTTTTAGTGCTATTATTGCTGTTTTCTTTTTTATATACATATGTGTAAATGGTTTCCTAATAAAATTATTATTTTAATATATTTACAATTTTATTGCATCTATTTTCGTTTTAATATTTATTATTATTACAATCATGGCTGACTTTTTAATATAATTATATTATAATTTATTTGTGGTATATAATTTCAATTTTCCCTTTTACATTTAATCGATATCGTCACTCACTCCACATGTGCCGAATCACTTTTACACCTCAACTACAATGTAAATTTCTTGCAAGTCATTTTTAGCTCCAGCTCAGCCCAGCTCAGCCCAGTGTTCCCTTGCCCTGGAGCTCCCACTGTTGACCTGCTTTTCATCAAGCTACTACTAACCCAGAAATGCGTGAAAATAAAGAAGAAGAGTTAAATAAAAATTGCCTTAACTGCCGAAAACAAAGCAAAACAAATTTATGGCCAATTGCAAATCATTTGACAACGAACAAAGCCCCGAAAAAAAAAAATTAAACAAACGAGCTAAGACAATGAGAAAAAAAGTAAGTATATTTATATATATATGACAAAAAGATGAAGAACAAAAACCTGCCCCAGTAACTGACCTACAGCAACAAAAACAACAACAAGAACAACAAAAAACGCAAATCTTAAACCACAAAGTGGAAAAATGCTGCTGAAAGCCTTCTATATAAAAGAAATAAACGTTTCTTGTTCATTATCAGAGAGCACTTGTTGTTGTTGTTGCTGCTGTGATTTTTGTGTATTATTATTGTATATTTGTGCAAGGCATTCGATTCTGGCTTTTGGGGTATATTTCGAATACAAAAATAAAAAAAAAAAATAAGAAAAAAGAGCAGAGCATAATAAGGCCAAAAAACAAACCGAAAAAAAGAGCCCAGACCCGAGCACAGACTCAGTTCCAGACTCAGACTCAGACCAAGTAGACACTCAGACGGCTTTTGTTGTTGTTGTTGTTGTTGTTATTATTTGTGTTTTGTGTTTGACGTTTGAGCGTGCTGGGCGCGTGTGAATGGGAAAAAGGAAGCTCACACACACACACACACACACACTTAAAAAAAAACAAAGTCAAGGTCATTGCAAAGAGTTTTAATTGTTCGCACAGCAACACACAAAAATGAAATAAAAATACAAATACAAACACGCACACACAGCCAACAACAACAACAACAACAATGGCGCCGAGCATTACAAACAAACATTCGCACATAATAAAAGAAATAAAAACGCAACAAAAACAGGCAGCGCCAGCGGACAATGGCAAAAGGCAACAAGAGGAGCCAACAACAACAACAACAACAACAACAGCCATAAAAGGCATTTGGCAAGCAAACAAGTTCAACACACACAAAAAAAAAAAAAGAAATATTCGCACAATTCACTCAGTTCGAAAACCTAACAACATCTTCCTCTCTCTCTCTCTCTCTCTATCTATCTTATGCCTCACACATGCTGCAACTGTCTCCCGCTCCCGTTCACTCTCATTCTCCCGCTGCTATCTATCTCTATTGCACTCGTGTGCACCTGTAAAGCTATTTATGCTCCAACTCTTGACAACAACAACTTGAAAGAAACAAATAAATAATAAATAAATAATAAATAAAATGCGTTGATTGAATAATTTATAAAATCAATAAATTATTTGGCAAATAAGAAGATAGTTACAGAATTTTGAATAACAAAAATACGTTGCAAATAAATCATATTTATCATCAATCTCTTGTATTATACAGTTCTAGAAATATCCCATAATAAACATTATGCAAGCATCAAACCAATAAATTTGGTTGTATACCTTTAAAAAAAAAAATGTTTTTACAACTAATTTTTGCTTAAAAGAAACGAATTATTCGACTCAAGCAATTATTTTTGTTATTTATATATTACTGTTATATACATTATATTTTATTTATTATATTTTATACTGTTAAAATTTCTATAATAATTATTATTTTTTTGAAATTTGAAATAGAATTGATAAAAATAAAATATAATTTATAGCGGAATTAAATTGTGTAATAATAATACTGCTATTTATTTAAACCTTCCATATTAATTATTTTTAATTGTCTGCTGCACAATTTGTATATATTAAAAGCATTGCTTGCTATATAA